GAGCTGGAGGAAGTGTCTGGAGAGAGGGAAGTCTGGGCATCTTTGCTTAGACTGCTGCCCCCGCGACCCGGTCCCGGATAAGCGGAAGAAAATGGATAGATGGATGAATACTTTTCGTACCCACTGTAAGATGTTATTAAGGATAGGATATTTAAAGAATAGTGTGTAGTATGTAACAAGTAAATAACTGGATATTTTAGATTAAATCTTTTTCTGATATAACTTTCTAAACACTGCCTCCCTTTGGACAGCCAGCCGGTTTTGTATGGCATAACACCAGAGCAACAAATCCAATCAGAAAAGTGCTGCTTGTGTTGTTGCCGTGAGGTATCCGCAACCAGGCAGCTTGTTGACACCGCTGGGTTGCCACTGCCTGTTTTAACTTTCAGAAACACTGTTGAGAAGGTTGGCATACTATTAATACTATGAATTGTAAACCCTTTTCGGATGTATCGGTCTAAAAATCATTTTGGCAGTTCAATCTGGGCCTTCTGTCAACCCTGTGAACTGTTATGCAACCTCACACACTCACTAAGACTTAGGTAATCACAGTCACTGGGAATTGGGTAACCAAACACTGAAAAATGTGTCTTATCCCTTACCACTTAGAAGTGTTAAGCCACCAAAATCATAGGAATGTCAATAACATCAACTTGACTCAATAATCACAGAGAGTATTAAACTTTTTCAGGGATTTTATATAGAAGCTTAACAGAGCTACAGCAAAGCAACAAGCAATAAAATATAAACCTTAAAATCATCAATAATCGGCTTTCAATCTAAATAAATCAACAACTGCTAATTCTAAACATAAATTTAAAATGATCATACTGATTAAAATCATTATGGTTGAGATAAGCTTTTGATCTGAATAAAAGTCAAAGGTCTCACGTCACCGATCCTCAGCTGGCTCTGGGCGGGCGGTGGCCGATTGGGGCAATCATTTGTTCCTCTTTTTCCTTTTTGCCATTATTCAAGCTCTGACAAGGGAAAAGAATTTACAAACAAAAATATCAGAGCTCATCCGGTTCAATCCTCAAAACTTTCGAAGAAAGAAATAGGACAAATTCAGATAAACTATGTTTTTCTTGGTCAAATCTTGTGTGACTCAGGAAAGTGTAAATGACGTGAAAATGTGTATAAACAGTCTCCTTTTTGTCCAAATCTTCATAAAGACATGAAAATGTCTAAAACTGTCTTTTTTGCAAGACATCCTTTCCCCACCAGGCCAGGTGGATTTTGGCTTTTTGTTAAAATTCATGATTTCTTCATTAATCAGCTTTAAAGCAGGAATTCAGTTTCCCTGGTTAACTGTGAGACTCTGCCACAGTTTCATCATCCCATCACGGCATGCATCCTCCTGCTCTGACAGGCCAATGCCTGTCCAAGCACCCAGAAAAGGGGCTCACTCCCTCGTTGGCATGCACCTTCCTCTTCTGACAGGCCGATGCCTGTATCCAAGCACCCAGAAAAGGGGCTCACTGCCTCGTTGGCATGCATCCTCTTCTGACAGGCCGATGCCTGTGTCCAGGCGCCCAGAGAAGGGGCTCTCTCTCCCACAATGGCATGCTTCTCACTCCCCCAGGCTTGTGCTTGCGGGGGAGCACCCCAGAGGGGTGCCCTCTCCCTGGACTGCCTCTCACACAACACTATCAATGCCTTAAAATCAGAACATAAATCTTTATATTTTGAATACTTTACTTTGGCTAACATGGATTATCATTGATTAGACATTGATCAAACAATTATCAGTCAAATCTTTACTTTTGTGCCTGAAACATCATTTTTGTTACTTCCTCAGTATGTTGTGTGTCTCTTCTCTGGCAGGCACACACGAACCTTTGCAGATCCTCATGTTAGGGATGTGTTTCTACTTCCTCTTGTGTGATTCTGTTCTTTTCATTTTGTTAGATGTAAAATCGCCTTTCCCCATCCTTTCAATACAACCATTTTATATTTTATTTAACACCTTCACTAATGATTATTTCAAACAAAACACACAATCATTTTATGATTATCTTTACTTATTAAAAGCATACAGTGTAACTGTTCTAAGCATTCTGCCACAGAATTTTAATAATAATTCCTTTGTCCTCTCCAACCTCCCCTGGAACTTCCTCTTTTTCCTCTGCCTTCTCTGTATCTCGGTGCTCTTTGAGGCCCGTACTCACAGCCTCGCTGACAACATACAGTAACTTCAGCCTTGTGTGAACTGTTCATGTGCTCTGTTCATGTTTAGAAAAGGAAAATGGGCGCCAGCTCAATGCAACCTAGACATTTTGACTCTGGCTTAACTTAAGCAACTGGGAGAAGATAAAAGTTGGGATAGCTGTGGGTTAGTGGAGGGAAGGATGATGCTGCGGTAGAGTAATAAATAAAAAGTGAATCCATTGTGTTGCTAAATCAATGTTAGCCCTAAGCCCCAGCACTCGTTTCAGTGCTGTGGTGGCGATCTCAGGGTATTCTGTCATGACTTTAATCGAGAACACCGACAGAGTGGTTGTCTCGAACATAATTTTAAGGCCGCCGTCATTTGCAATCTCCAGCAGTTGATCTTCTTCTTGCACAGACATGCTGGATTCACCTGGTTTGTTGACAAATGGGTTGCGGATCCATTCCTTGGCAGTTCGTGGGTCCTTTGTGGTTGGGAAGTAGCGCTCGAACTCTTTTAAAAGCAAAGACAGGTGATCGTGCACCAGCTGGGAGAATGAAGGCTCAGGCTCAGTCTCACCCAAAATCCCCGCTAATGTTTGAAACATGTCCAAAATGCCTCCGTTGACGCGCCGTCCCCACAAATCCAGTTTGGCTTTAAATGCAACTACTTTATCTGCCAACTTGAAGACAGTTGTCATTTTCCCCTGAAGTGACAGATTGAGTTCATTAAGCAGGCTGAATATGTCCACAAGTAAGCCAGTTTTGGCGCTCAAGTAACCGAGAGAATACGGTCATTTTTCAAAATAAAAGATCGTTCAGACTCAGATAATAAATAAAACGGAAATAATTAATGATTTCTTGTGCGGCCTGGTACCAATTGATCCACGGACCGGTACCGGTCCGCGGCCCGGGGGTTGGGGACCACTGCTTTACACGATCTGCTCTGAACACCTGGAAACCCAGTACTTGTATCGCGCTGTCTGCGATCAAGACGCTCCGCCAGATCTCCGTGAAGCACAAAGCAGCAGAGTGTAGAAACTCAGTTAGTCCTGTTGACGAGAAGAATTTCATCCATCTTGTTTACCAGGGGAGCAGAGATTTGCCAGGTGAATAGACAGGAGTGGGGTCCGTGTTCCCCTCTGTCATAGCCGCACCAAGGTGCCCGCCTGCTTGCCACAGCAGCGTTTTTTTCCAGGTCCCATATATTGCCGCTGCACCTCCAATTAGAATGTCCATACAGTATTCTTCGTTCACATAAACTAGAGGAAGGTCATTTGGTGCGAGTTGTCCGATATTTAACCGTTCTCTGGTAAAAGTAATCCGGGATGAGTTGCAAAAGACCAACAAAACAAAGAAAAACAATAAACACAAGAGAGCACGAGTAACCACAGCTGCCGGCACCAGAAGAACAAGAAAAATGTTGTAATATTAAAACCTCTCTGCATTAAAACCTGATGAAATTTTAAAAATGTCATGCTCTGTAGAGCATGGCACATTATATGTAATTTAACTTCATGAAAGTAAAGACTTTCAAACATGCCTGACTGGTTGATACTCAGACTTTACATTCTGATGGCAATATTAATGCACTGTCATTAAATATAATTCTGAATGTTGGTCTATCACAAGGGTAGCAGATGCAATTTTATGTCTTGATTGCTGTTATAATTACAGATTTGACCTTCCTCCCCAACATATTGTAGTCCACCTTTCTGTTTTGCTCCATGCAGATCAGTTGGCAAAGTCCACATTTGATTGTGCAGCTGTAGACTCTGACTTTGATTGATTGGATCTGTTGTGTTTAAGTGTCTAATCTGATAAATGTAATACTGTAAAGAAAATCTAAAGGGTTCTTCTTTCTTGCACGGTTTGGAAGTGGATGAATAAAACTCAGTGGCCTGTGTGGTGTTTCAGAAAGCAGAGTCTACAAACCCTGAGTTGACTAACCCTGAGATGAAAAACTTGGAGATTTCAGTTCCAGAATAGCTGATCAAAGTTTAAATTATTATTATTTTATTTCAGATATATAGTTTAATTAACTTTGAGGTAATTCTCTCAGGGTTGAGCACATGTGAGGACTATAAAAAGCCATCATAAGTAAGTTAATAGGGATACAATGCTGTTGGCAGCAAAGGATGAACTCAAACAGAAGTATTTATTGACCTCTGATTTAGCCCGACCAAGTAATAATTACTGTATTTTAGCAATTTGAAGAAAATATCAAGGATTAAATGATGATTTAATAAAAATGTAGCCATTGAAATTATGCTAAAACAAGCTCATGTTAGTAAAGAGGTCTGAGGTAACAAACTGTTAGGCTACTATCTAATGAGATTTTTATCCTCTTCTCCTATTGTAAACTTCTGAAAATGAATACGCTCAGATATGGGCTGTATGAAAGAGGAAATGCCACAGTGTTTCAGACTTCCTTAGACTTGGCTGGAGGGAGGAGACAAACATAGAATGTCTGGGTTTGTAGAGGAAAACCTGCCAGCCAACATGTTAGCTTTTCAGAATAAGTTACATTCAGCTACAATGATCTCAACCCAGAGTTTCCTTCAACTCAGGGTGAACAAAATCAGAGGGTTTACTTAACCTCCTTTCTGGAATACCCCCTGGAAATAATGCTACTGCTTTTAAATATACATAATATTGCCATGTGGGACCCTCTCTCCTCCCCACAGTTTTACCCAAGCAAAATGGAAGGGTTGCCATTGTGACGGGGGGTACCAGAGGAATGGGTTTTGAGACGGCGAGACACCTGGCAAGCCTTGGCATGCATGTTGTCATAGGTAGGCTATCCTTTAAATAAATCTCTCCAGTCTAGCTTTATATTAAAGTTTTGCCCTTTTCCCTATTTTTAATCTTTTAATGTAAACAAATGATGCTGTCAGAAGAAGATGCCACCTGTGTGCCTTAATTGGGGTGACTATAATAGAGCGGTCGTTTCCCAACCGGGGAACGTTAGGGAAGGTTAGAGGTTCCCTTGGTCCACATGTCTAAGTGTCCTCGGGCAAGACACTGAATGCCAAGTTGCACCTGATGGCCTCGGTTCTGTACCGGAAACACATTTTTGTGTGTAACCTATTTGGCCAAATAAAGTGATTTATAAAATAAAAAGTCAGTTTTACACAATTGCATATAATGTAATATTATTATATATACAGTGGTGTGAAAAAGTATTTGCCCCCTTACTGATTTCTTATCTTTTTGCATGTTTGTCACACTGTAATGTTTCAGATCGTCAAACAAATTCATATATTAGTCAAAGATAACACAAGTAAACACATCATGCAGTTTTTAAATGAAGGTTTTTATTATTATTATTGGGCCACCCTTAGCAGCAACAACTGCAATCAAGCGTTTTCGATAACTTGCCATGAGTCTTTTACAGCGCTGTGGAGGAATTTTGGCCCACTCATCTTTGCAGAATTGTTGTAAGTCAGCCACATTGGAGGGTTTTCGGGCATGAACTGCCTTTTTAAGGTCATGCCACAGCATCTCAATTGGATTCAGGTCAGGACTTTGACTAGGCCACTCCAAAGTCTTCATTTTGTTTTTCTTCAGCCATTCAGAAGTGGACTTGCTGGTGTGCTTTGGATCATTGTCCTGCTGCAGAACCCAAGTTCGCTTCAGCTTGAGGTCACAAACGGATGGCCGGACATTCTCCTTCAGGATATTTTGGTACACAGCAGAATTCATGGTTCCATTTATCACAGCAAGTCTTCCAGGGCCTGAAGCAGCAAAACAGCCCCAGACCATCACACTACCACCACCATATTTTACTGTTGGTATGATGTTCTTTTTCTGAAATGCGGTGTTACTTTTACGCCACACATAATGGGACACACACCTTCCAAAAAGTTCAACTTTTGTCTCGTCTGTCCACAGAGTATTATCCCAAAAGTCTTGGGGATCATCAAGATGTTTTCTGGCAAAACTGAGACGAGCCTTTATGTTCTTTTTGCTCAGCAGTGGTTTTCGTCTTGGAACTCTGCCATGCAAACCATTTTTGCCCAGTCTCTTTCTTATGGTGGAGTCATGAACACTCACCTTAACTGAGGCAAGTGAGGCCTGCAGTTCTTTGGATGTTGTTGTGGGGTCTTTTGTGACCTCTTGGATGAGTTGTCGCTGCGCTCTTGGGGTAATTTTGGTCGGCCGGCCACTCCTGGGAAGGTTCTCCACTGTTCCATGTTTTCGCCATTTGTGGATAATGGCTCTCACTGTGGTTCGCTGCAGTCCCCAAGCTTTAGAAATGGCTTTATAACCTTTTCCGGACTGATAGAGCTCCATTATTGTCTTTCTCATTTGTTTTTGAATTTCTTTGGATCTCGGCATGATGTCTAGCTTTTGATGATCTTTTGGTCTACTTCACTTTGTCAGGCAGGTCCTATTTAAGTGATTTCTTGATTGCGAACAGGTGTGGCAGTAATCAGGCCTGGGTGTGGCTAGAGAAATTGAACTCAGGTGCGATAAACCAGTGTTTTGACAGGGGGGCAAACACTTGTTCACACAGGGCTATATAGTTTTGGATTTTGTTTTCCCTTAATAATAAAAACCTTCATTTAAAAACTGCATGATGTGTTTACTTGTGTTATCTTTGACTAATATATAAATTTGTTTGACAATCTGAAACATTACAGTGTGACAAACATGCAAAAAGATAAGAAATCAGTAAGGGGGCAAACACTTTTTCACACCACTGTAATTGTGTAAAACTGACTTTTTATTTTCTTTACAGAGTTGTTCCTAATCTGATCCTCTCATGTACTGTATGTACAGTGCCTATAAAAAGTATTCACCCCCTTGGATGTTTTATTGATTTTATAAATCAATCATGATCAATATAATTTGGCTGTTTTGACAAAAAAAATTACAAAAAACTGTCAAAGTGAAAACAGGTTTCTATAAAGTAATGTCAATTAAATAAAAATATGTAATGGTAAATAAGTGACTGCATAAAAATTCACCCCCTTCAAGTCAGTATTTAGTAGATATACCTTTGGCTGCAATCACAGCACTGTGTTGATAGGTGTCACTCAGGCTTGCACATCTGGACACTACAATTTTACTCCATTCTTCTTTGCAAAACTGCTCAAGCTCTGCCAGGTTGTGTGGCATCAGGTGTGAACAACCCTTTTCAAGTCCAGCCACAAATTCTGTATTGGATTGAAGTCTGGGATTTGGCCATTTCAGAACATTCACCTTGTTGTCTTTAAACCATTTCTGTGTAGCTTTCACTGTACGCATCAGGTCATTGTCTTGCTGGAAAATAAATCTTCTCCCAAGCCATAGTTCTCTTGCAGACTGAATAAGTTTGTCCTTTAGGATTTTCCTATATTTTGCTGCATTCATTTTACCCTTTACAAGCCTCCAAGGGCCGGCTGCTGAGAAGCATCCCCACACCATGATGCTGCCATCACTGTGCTTCACGGTGGGGATGGTGTGTTTATGGTGATTTGCAGTGTTAGGTGTCCACCAAACATAGCGTCTTGTCTTATGACCAAAAAGCACCATTTTGGTCTCATCAAACCAAAGAACCTTCTTTGACTTGACTATGGAGTCTATGATATGAATTTTCTTCAATAGTGGCTTTCTCTTTGCCACTCTACCATAAGTCAAATCAAATCACAATTTGATTTGCCATTTATGCTTAAATAGACAGTCTAGGCATATAGGAATTCTTGTGCAGCTCTCCTTTGGAGTCAGGTAAGGAGTTAAAAGCCAGAAAGAACACAGTCTTAAAAAAAGTTACATAAAGGCAACAAAGCATTAAAACCGCAATACACAAAAATAGGGTAATAGTATTTTCCCCAGGTAACTTCATACATCACACTTATGAAGGGGGGCGGCTGTGGCTCAGGAGGTAGAGCGGGTCGTTTCCTAACCGGAGGATTAGTGGTTCGATTCCCGGCTTGTCCAGTCAACATGTTGAAGTGTCCTTGAGCAAGACATTAAACCCCCTGTTGCTCCCGGTGATGACACTGGTGTGTGAATGTGTGAGTGTTTGGGAGTGCAAATGGGTGAATGGCCAAATAGTGTGAAAGCGCTTTGAGTGTGCTGTAAAGCATAGAAAGGCGCTACACAAATATAAGACCATTTATCATAAGACCACTTAGTAATTCACATGGTGGAGTTGGATATGTCATTATGCTTGGTGAATTAGTGAGGGGTTATAACATACTAAAACACATTTTATTTTCAGGCTTGTTTCCATTGCTTGGTAGAGAATGTCCTGCTATTATTCAGGTCCCACAAGAGAACACTGTTGATGAGATGCTGTTACAAAAATACCTTGTAGAACATTTCTGTATTATTATTGCGCATGTCTAGTAAGGGGTTATCGCACATATATATTCTCACATTTTCGTATTTGCCATCAGTCTTACTGCAGCAGGGAAAAAGCTGTTGTAAAGTCTAGTTCTGTGTGTGATGATACTGTCCGCCCTGCTGTACCTGAGGCTATGGGTGCAGTTTTTGTGTCTGAGCAGGGAGTGAGCTGGGTGGCGTGGGTCACTGAATATGTTTTCCGCCCTTTTATGACAGCGCTGTGTGTACAGTGTGTCTATAGCAGGCAGTTCAGTCCCAATGATCCTCTCTCCAGTCTTTATGACCTTTGAAGAGCTTTCCTCTCTGCCTGTGTGGTGTTACCATACCAGACTGTGATGCCAGTAGTGAGGATGCTCCCTTCCAGTTAGAGGACTGGGTGAGAGGGCGACAGTTCAGCCCAGCTTTTCTGAGCTGCCTAATGAAGTATAGCAGCTGCTGGGCTTTCTTCACTGTGACAGCTGTGTTCAGTGACCAGCTCACGTCAGATGTCACCTGCAGGCCCACGAACTTGTGGCTGTCAGCCCTCTCCACCTCAGTCCCTTTGGTGGTCAGAGGCAGCAGAGGGGAGTGGTTCTTCCTAAAATATAAAGTCTGGATTTTCCAGACATAGGTGTCTATATTACAATCACTTGAGACACATTCACTGCACTCAGGTGATCCCCATTTCACTAATTGTGAGACTATTAGCACCAACTAGCTGGACCTTTGTTGAATTAGGCCAGTCATTTTAAAGAGGTTAATATTTATGCAGTCACTTATTTCATCCATCCATCCATCCATTTTCCAAACCGCTTAGTCCCAAATGGGGTCACGGGGGGCTGGAGCCAATCCCAGCCAGCTGCGGGCGAAAGGCGGGGTACACCCTGGACAGGTTGCGAGCCCATCGCAGGGCCACTTATTTCATATTACATATTATTTAATTTATCACTTTGTAGAAACCTGTCTTCACTTTGACATTAAAAAGGTTTTTTGTAAAAAAAAAAAAATAAATTTTTGTCAAAAAGCCAAATTATTTAGACCATGATTGATTTATAAAATCAGTAAAAAGGTAAAACGTCCAAAGGGGTGAATTTTTTTTTTTATAGGCACTGTTAGCTAGGGAGGACAAAATTATAGAGACAGCTCTAAATATAATGTAGTCTAGTATAACACCACCTTTAACTATGATCTCAATAAAAAACATATAATCGAATATATACATTCTGAAACATTTTGAGCTTCATAAACACAAATGTTAAGGCAGAAATGTTGCATTGAATTGCTTACAATTGTACCGGTGTACCTAATAAAGTGGCCAGTGAGTGTATATTTGTGCAGTATTTTGGTCCATAGTGAAGATGATTTACTATAAAGCTTAGATTGATGTCTTATATTTTTGACAGCTGATAAATTCCATGATACATAATTTGTGCCGCTATAGTCAGATGACATGAGTCAATGTAGGCAGTAGAATTGAGTTGCAGTGGCTATTCGCTGGTCATCTGCCCCACAAGCCTCTCTGATCTCCATCTCCAGCTGGGAACGAGAGAGAAGAGGGCATAGCAGCTGTCAGGAAGATTAATGACGAAGACAGTGAGGGAAAAGGTAATTATTTGTCACATTTTCCATTCAATCATATTTTGGCCAAATTGGGGCCTTTAAAATAGCTGAAATCAGTTGCTTTCTGTAACCATCAGTGAGTTTCTTCCGCCTCTCTACTTGAATTCTGGACCACTCTTTTTTTGCCAACTGTTCAAGGTCTCTCAGATTTGAAGGTTCCTTCTCCCATCTGCTGTTCTGAGATCTCTATGGGATTTAGATCTGGACTTATTGCTGCCCACTTCAGAACTTTCCAGCTCATTGTCTGAAACCATTTCTGGTGCTTTTTGAAGTCTGCTTTGGGTCATTGTCCTGCTCTAAGACCAATGACCTCTGTTGGAAATCAAACTTTCTGACACTGGGCCCTACGTTGTGCACCAGAATTCACTGGTAGTCTTCAGATTTCATAAAGCCATACACACACAGTCAAGACATCCAGCGACAGATAATGCAAGATGGCATTGTTGCACCCTGTGCCAGCAGGTCAGCCTGAATTTGTTTAGAAATTGATCGAGGTCCTTTATCCATCATTTGAACAATCCTTCGTTGCAGTCTGCCATCTGTTTTTCTCTTTCACCTATGTCCAGGGAGATTAGCTACAGTGCCATGGGCTGTAAACTTCTTGGACACAGGAACAGCCAGATCTCTGGAGATGAACTTTAGCCTTGAGATTGTCCAGGCTTTTCTGCTGGTGTGGTTCTCAAATCCTCAGACAATTATTTGCTCTTCTTTCTTTTCTCCATGCTCAGTGTGGTCCATACGACACAGAGGTTGAGTCAACTTTCCTTCATTTTAACTGGTTGCAGGTGTGAGTTTTATATTGCCAGCACCTGTTAATGGCTACAGGTGAGTTTCAATACAAATTAAAGGAGCATCACATGCTTGAAATACAGCTGTTTGTGATGATTTTGAAAAGGTGTCATTAATTCTATCCAGCCCATTTTTGGAATTCTGTGTGGAATGAAGCTGACCTTTGATGTGCTTTATTCACTCCTACAGGTGACTTAGTGTTAAGTTCCTTTTTAATTTGTTAAGCCTTTAAATTGATAAGCCTAACGCATTAAGTCATATTTTGTATGTATATAGGGTCATTTTGCCAAAGGTGCAAAAAACTTTCTGTGCCAACATGATTTTTCTGTTCACAGCTGAGTTTGTCTTTGTGGACCTGTCTTCGCTGAAATCAGTGCAACAGTTTGTTCAGACATTTAAAGACAAAGGTCTTCCCCTCCACGTACTGGTTAACAACGGTAGGGTTTCACTGCCACTGTAAATACGTGAAATGTCAATCTAGTATTACAAAGTCAAACTGTTTATCAGAAAGAGTGAGTAATGGCCTATTCTCTTCAAAATCTAAAATTATAGCTCTTTTGATTTAGCTGGAATCATGATGGTTCCCGAGAGACAGACAGAAGATGCCACTGTGGTCTAACCTACCTGGGCCACTGCCTGCTGACCAACCTGCTGCTGGATATGCTGAAGAAGTCAGGGCGACAGGGCTGTTGCTCCAGAATCGTCAATGTGTCCTCAGCTACACACTTTGCAGGAGTCTTGGACATGGATGACTTAAATAGGAGGTAAGCAGTTTCACAAACACTTTACCTCTGCCAAGGGAGGTTATGTTTTTCGTTCTGTGTGTATTGGTTAGCAGGATTACAGACAAACGACTAGATGGATCATCAGCATACGTGGTATAGACATTGGTGGAGACCAACCCTAGAAGTGATTAGATTTTGGCTGAAAAAGGTCAAGGTCAAATAAAATAACAAAAAATCACAAAAATCCCTATCTTTAACAATGGGCAAAAAAATTTAAATTCATATATGTGTCAAAAGTTATCAAAATCATTTGAAATTTGACATGCATATGTAGGGTGGCAATGTCTATCATCAAAGCAAATTTCATCCAAATCTGATCTGGATTCTGGATCTGACAGCCATTTAAAATTAACATTGAAAACCACACAACACATTTTTTGCCACAGAACCCTGGAATGTTCAGGTAAGACGCACAGTATGACTGCCTATCATACCTTAAAAGATGACCCAGATCTGGTTCATATCAAGGATTTTAGAGCACATTTTGTAGCTAGTGATGTTTTTCAGAGTTTTCCAGAACAGACAAGGGGGTTGTTGGCTGAAAACTGGTTTTTTGGCTTTTCAGAGTAGCTCCTCTTTGCTACTATGATCTTCCTTATCAATGTGCTCCTGGTCTGCCTGTACAAAATCCTGTCCCCACTTCTGTAGGCCTCTTCTTTGTCATGACAAAACTGTTTGAGTCTTACTGTAAGCCAGGGCCTATTGTTGTTGTATGTTGTTAGAAATTAATAAATTAGTCAGATAATTATTAGACTTTAATGTGTTAGACTTCAATGTGTTAGTAATGTAGTTTAGTAAGATTCAAAGTCTGCTCTAGTCTGCTCTGTTTCAAGCTTAGCAGTAAGCCATGACACCAATTGTTTTCTTGTTTTAATCTTGTATAAGAATTATGTCTGAATGTTTTAGTTACACATCACATAACAACATACACACACATGGAGTTCTTCATTTTGTTATGACTAGGTAATACGCAGGTGCTCCAAGCCTGTGGAGCTCTAGATAAGAGATGGAGTCTGCTGGACGGACTTCATCTGTGTAAGGGGTTAGCCCAAAACTGGTAAATGTATTAGGCTCTGTGACTCCGGGTGCTTTTTTCCTGCTCTCTTCTCCATTCTCCAGCAGCTTGTCTGAAGGAGGGAGCCCTGGGTTGTGTTCTGTAATCCTTTTATATATCTATATATATATTTTTGTAAATAAACCAGCACTAAAATCAAGAAAGACGGACTCCTTCCTTACTCAGATCTGTCCAGTAAAAGAACTGGGGTTTAACAATGTGCAGAAGGTCATGGTGGGCACACACCTCAAATACACTCCAATCTGTGCAGTCAAAGCAGGCCTGTAGCTTTGGCTTAGCCTCCTTGGTCCATCTCTTCACTGCTTTAACAACAGGTTTTGCAGCTTTAAGTTTCTCTCTATAGGTTGGGATGTGATGGACCATGTAGTGATCAGAGAGACTGAGGGCTGCATGGGGGACAGAGTGATAGGTGTCCTTTATTACCATGTAGCAGTGGTCCAATAATCAAAATGAATGGTATGAGGGAAGATAGCTGTCAATACCATGCATTGTGCACAAAATGTATTTTCATAAACTCGTGTAAGTCAAATCATATATAAAATATGTAGTGTATTTTGTTTGTGAGAATATGCTTTTAAGAGTTACAACTTCAAGAAATTGTAAATAAGAACTGAAAAAGTAGGTTTGTGCTTTCCTCAATATAAATATGAATTTACAACAGTGACCTGACTGTCAAAAATACATCACGGGGTCATAGGCATAATGCACTGAGCAGATGATACATCAATTCCACAAACTGCACGTGTTCAAAATTGGACTTTATTCTTGACTCTTGAAGCCTGATGAATGTGCATTGACAGATGTGACAGAAACAATACTTTAGGTTAGACTTAATAGAAATGGGCTTGATGCATTCAAATAACAATTTTGATGATTAGTGAATATCATGGCCTCGTTTGAAATTTGCCGTGGAAATGGGAAGCTCTCCAGTAAGCTAGTTAGCTAACAGCTCGCTAACACTTATTCCACCTGCTGCCCGGTCTCATGGCATAACATTACAGCAATGTTCACTGTACCAGAGTTCAAACATGATAAATCCCCAGATGTTCACAGACAGTTTGAGTGCTGATTGCACGATGTTCATTTGCTCCATGTTGACACACCCAGCTCATAGTAAAGGTAAGTTGGCTAGTTAGCTGTTAGCAAGCTGCTGCCTATTTAGCTTTAAGGACCGAATGTCATCACGATTTTTGTCAACACTTAAGTTCATGAATTTAGTTTATCCTACAGTATGTGTCATTTATTTTTGATGTTAAATTAGTGGAAAACTAAGCTGCCACAAGATCTGTTCATCTAAAACTGTGGTTTTACTGCATGTTATTAAACTGCCCATGGCATGATTTTCCTTGTTTTCTGACTTATCCACAATGTTACAACAATGAATTATCATCTTAAATGTGACTGAAAGATCAAAAAAACGATGTGTACCTATGTTGTACTTCTGTGCTGAAGCAACTCTCGCTGGCATGGTTTTTTTCTTCAACTATGTCAAGTCTTATGCAATAATTCACTGATTTCCTTGAATGGCCATGTTCTCCTGGCTGTGCCCCTTTATGCGAGCTTGCCTGAAATCCACCAGTGCCTTATTAAAAGTGTGATTTTTTTTTTGACTGCACGTGGTTTTACCTCCTGCTGCTGAAAAAAAAAATAGGGCCTGAGGTTACTGAATGTTCATGTACAGGGACCCATTGTTTTACCTGATCAAATCTAACAGGGCATGAAGAGTAGTTTTATTGTTAGTGATAAATGATTATTGATTATTTTTATATGGAAACAAATTGCTTCAGCAAGGTTAGCTTGTATTGCTAAAGTTAGGCTACTTTGTTAGCTGACCGAGGGTGCTCTCAAATTATTGTGGAGTTTAAATCCATATGTGCACCCACTGCCTAATGTTATTTAGATGGTCTTGTGAGGTCAATCGATAAGTTGGTAAAGTGATAAATATTGCAGTAATTCAGCTGTGCTGTAACCATGAGAGTGGATAATATATCAAAAAATTGGTAATGTTAGTCTATACTTTCATTCAGAGCTGTTGTCACATTGGTAAGCACTGTAGTTTTTTGGGGGGAAAAGAAGAACCTGGATAACCTAGAGCTGTGAAACTGGAGGGGAGCAGTCGTCCACCTCTGTGGCATAGGAACTTGTGATTCTCTTCTGCTCTCTCTCACTGACCAGCTCCTCCCTTGCACTTCCTTAAGAGTTAATCTGCACCTTCTCCTAATATCACCTTCTCCTCTCTCCAGGATCTGCTACAGTTCCCATGGGGCCTACTCCCAAAGTAAACTGGCTCTGGTCCTCTTCACATACTATCTGCAAGAGCAGCTGACTGCTGGCGGCTTTATGGTGACTGTCAATGCTGTGGACCCTGGCATGGTAGATACAGCCCTGTACAATAACTTGTGGAGCCTCACACAGATGCTGAAGAAATCAGTGGCAAAGACACTGTTCAGGGTACAGTTTTGCTAACAGATCTTGAATTAATTTAGATTTTTTTTTTCTTGTAGACCTAATGTGCAAGACATTTGAGCATAGCTGTAAACTCATTATGTATATTCAAAAAATACAAAATAAAAACTGACACATGCACCTCATAAAAGGCCATAAATGCATGTCCATCAATCTACAAATAAAGTCAAGATGAAAAGCCAAATGTCCAAGTTTTCCACCTGTCCTTAAACCCAGCATATTTGTGGATCTGAGAATAAGAAAACCTTGCCTATGCATCTGGGTCCAAGGGAAACAAAGTGTGCCAACACTCCTCCTGCAGTGACCACTTTTGTAGCTAGCTAACTGCTACCCTGCTGCATAACTGTAATGAGCTGCAGTGATTTCTCCGTCCTGCTTCACGATGACATGGCATTTCACTGGACCCTTGAGAGAAGTTAACCCTCCTGTTATGTTCATTTCTCAGGTGATGCCTGCTCAGCAGTTATGTTCGTGGGTCAATTTGACCCGCAACATAACAGGGGGGTTAACCTGCGCTAAATAAACAACCATAACGCTAATGTCAAGAGACACTATCCATTGAATGTTTGTTGCTAAGGAAATCCAAAGGACCATAGATATGTTATATTATCTCTATGCAAGGACAATGTATGCCTCAAAAGCAGACAAATCTTTCAGTTCAGTTGAAAAATTTAAGAATCACATCTAACATATGTTATGATTTTGCAGTTTATACCTTTTTCCAGCATTTAATTTAGCGCAGTATGGGCTTTCCGCTATCCCTTCATTCTGCTTGTGACTTCCTGCTCTCCATCTGAGTTTCACGCATCATAACAGTCATTGTGATTGCAAAAATCCTGTTGAAGCTTTGTGATATAAAGTGCATGAAACTTGTCGACACATAACAGGCAGCCTTTTATAGACATTTATGAATGTTGATAATGCTTATGATGAAATCTCCTGACATGTCCACATGAATACCACCCATTGGGTGGTATTCACTGAGCTGAAGCGAGCAGTTTATAACAGTTAATGCAGTAAATAGAGTTAGCTGAATCCAGATTTGAGCACTTGTATAAGAAATCCTTAAATGTAAATGTGATTACATAAGGTCCAGAAAGTCTACTAGTAACAATAGTAGGACTGCTTGGTTAATAGGCCATCTTTGAACACAACCTGAGAGTCCTTTACTTCATGTACTCTATGTCCTTCTCAGACTCCAGCAGAAGGAGCATCCACAGCCATCTACACAGTAGCTACTTCTGAGATGGAGGGGGTTGGGGGCTGTTACCTGTACAACGGCCAAAAGACACAGTCTTCCATCCTTTCCTACAACTCTGAGCTACAAGCAGAGCTGTGGAAGAAGAGCTGTGAGCTCGTGGGCCTTCAGGCCTGATGTGCTCTGCTGTGACCCTCACATTACACTTTCTCCAAAGCAATCTGAGAGATGGTATTTGAAGCCACTTCCTCACCCTATTTTGTTCCAACACTTAATATCTAGATGTGTAGGCCTTAAAGAAAACAACAATGTTTTGGACATTGTGATAAAAATGACAAAATTATCCATGGAAACATTTCCATTGATAAATTAGGCCTGAAACCAATGTATGCTTCTAGGTTTTGCATAGTGAAGAAGAATCCATGCTAACAGCATGTAACGCAGTAATGTAGCGTGTTGCCATTTCTAAATTCAGTAATCACATTTCAGTTACTAATCAAGCAACCTGATTTGCTTAACTACTGCAATTATTTACATAATGGGCAGAAAAACAGTTGAATATGCTTTTTTATATGCACTTGTGCAACAATCACCTAAAATCAGTTTGTATGCAGATAGAGCAAAAATGGCAGGATGGTCTAGAACAGGGGTGCCCACACATTTTCGCCTTTCAAGCTACTTTTCAAATGACCAAGTCAAAATGATCTACCTACAATTAAAATACTAAGCATATATTTATTTCTTATGTAAACGCAATATATGTTGGCACACCTTGCATAACTGCATGAATCTTAAGGCACACTACAGTTCAGTACTTTTTGGTCATTAGTTTGATGACTTGCACTATGCAGTCAGGGCTGCATAGTCTGGACAGTAGTTGCTGGTAGCCAGCTTAAAGCAGACTTCCAAATGGTCATCAGTCATGGTCGAGTGGTATTTGGACTTAATAAAATTTGTGTGAGAAAATGCTGACTCACACAAATAAGTAGAGCCAAATAATACAGTCAATCGCACATTTCCTCATGTTTGGGTACTTTTCCTCTGTAAGTTCCAAAACGGTCCATTAACCCTGGACCTCACCTGAATGTCAGTCTGTAGTATCAATATCTCATCCTCCACTCCAGACCAGTTCAGGTGAAACAGTGTTGCAATTTTTTATGCAAGTGAATCAACCTCAATAACTTACTTAAATGGATAGCACATAAATGTAGCGACTGGCTCGAGTGAGGCAAAATCTTGAAAGCGTTTGTCAAACTCTGACCAACAATTGTCAATCTGCTTTGTGCAGCGCGCAATGTCAAGTTCTGGTCAAAGGTCGAAGTGTTTATTTGTCATATGCACAGTTAGGAAACGTGTTTCCCTGTACAGTGAAATTCTTACTTCGCCGTCCACATGAATGCCACAAAAATACAAGTGAAATATAAAAGTAGATAAATAAGTAACACAAAATCTAAGGCACTTTAAGCAGCAAATGCAGCAATATAATAAAAATATATAAGAACATAATAGAGAATGTATGCTGCATGGGAGCAGCATGTGCAGCAGTCAATAGTCAATGTGCAATTATACATGTGCAAACTGAGAATGTAAACAGTACATCACGTATTTCCTGGTAATAAACTCCTCAGCTGTTTAGGAGTCCGATGGCAGAGGGAAAGAAAGAGTTTTTCAGTCTACTGGTCCTGCATGTCACACTTCTGAATCTCTGGCCAGAGGGTAGGAAGGTGAATAGTCCATGCTGGGATCTTTGAGGATAGAGGCAGCTTTCCTACGCACCCTGTGGTGGTAAATGCTCTGCAGAGAGGGCAGTGGAGTCCTGGTGATCTTCTCTGCAGTCTTTACCACTCTCTGCAGGCGCTTGCGGTCCGTAGCAGTAGTGCTGCCATACCAGACAGTGATGCAGCTGGTCAAGGGTGGGTGAACAGGGTGTAGAGGGTGGGGCTGAGGGCAAGTGGTCAAAATGTTTTGGCTGATCATTGTATATTTGTGCCTTTAGACACAAATAACAAATTAGGTTAGGGTTAGTGCACATTTAATTGTAATCTCACCTCAGGCCACCAGAGTATTAGAAGAGGATCATGATACAATAGGAGCACCACTGACAGCAACACACAAAGAACTGCCCTGTTTCTCAGTGATTTCCATGCACACACTGGCTTTTTGTCTTCCATTCAGCTGTGTTTATTTGTCATATGCACAGTTAGAAAATGTGTTTCCCTGTACAATGAAATTCTTACTTTGCCGTCCACATGAATGCCACAAAATACAAATGAAATGGTGGGGTGCAGACCCAGTGTGGACAGTTTGTGGGTGAGTTTGTGGGGGACAACTGTGTTGAAGGCGGAGCTGTAGTCAATGAAGAGTATCCTGATGTAGGAGTCTCCATTTTCCAGGTGAGAAAGGGAATAGTGGAGGGCAGCCGCGATGGCATCTGAGGCGGCCCTGTTGGGCCGGTAGGCATACTGCAGGGGTCCAGGGTGTCCAGTATAGTGCTCTGAATGCGGGCCAGCACTGCTCTCTCAAAACACTTCATAATAATTAGGGTGAGTGCCACTGGCCTGCAATCGTTCAGGCAGGTGACCAGGCTCTTCTTGGGTAGGGGGGATGATGTTGTAGTCATAAAGCAGGTGGGAACAATGCTCTGGCTGAGGGAGAGATTGAAGATGATGGTGAGAACATCAGCCAGCTCACTGGCAAGTTGCGCACATGCTTTCCGTGGCGTCTCCAGCTCTGATGCAAGGTTTTGGAAGTTCCCCAAAATGTGGCTTTTTTCGTTTGAAAGCATTAACTAAGCTGATTATATTGACGCGAGATCTACCGACACTACCTTTGCGTTTGACAGGTTGATCACACTCGACGTATTGGGCAGCCCTGGTCTAGAACATCTGAAGGGTGGAGATTGGTGGAGATACACACATTACTTCATATTTGTTATTATGATGTGCCCAGGCCGGTAACAACTATCCACTGCTGTGAACACGACATCAAACCTCTCTAAGCACCCGCAAAGGCAACATACTAACCCAAAGCTGGAAGATAAAGACCCTCTGACCTAGAATGACGCCTGATTTTCAACAGCAACAGTTAACAAAAGCAGAGATGACCAGGCTTCTAGCATCATACACAACAGGGGCAATGTTGCCAATTTCTACAGTAGAATCAGAAAATAACTCGGCAAAATACAGGAAACGGTTTCAGACATGAAAACCTTTGCACGCTATCTTACCAGTGTTACACCAAGATGGAAACTACACAAAATTAAAAACATTTGAGAGCTTAGAGTACGTGTCTACTGGGCATATGCAATTACGTGATTTTTGTGGAGTAACAAAAGTAATGTAATTAGTCTTAGCAATGACTTTTTACAGGGAGCAATTAAGTAATGCATTTCATTTTTTTAAATGTAGCAAGTACTTTACTTTTTTTGAATAACAACCCTAAGGTTGCTTATATGTTATGGCCTTCTGGAAATCAAACTTCAAATTCAGTTTATTTGTAGCAAATATCACCCACGATTTATAGCTTACATTGTTAAGTCAAGTTAAAAATGACATTGATGGGATTGCTTGCTACTAATTTGTTGGGACAAAAAAAACAACCCTACAGATATTGTTTAACAGACTGGGTAATGAAGTGAAATTAAGTGACAAATCCACCTGATACCTGAATGTGTAACAGATAAAATGTGACAGTATACATGGTTTAGGCCAGCAGGTTATTGTGACACACCAAATTTCAACAAAAATCATCTCAGGGCACTTTACATAGTAACCCAAAGCCCACTTTTGATTGTTAAAAACTTTCCAAGGACCTTCTTGACAAATAAATGAGAAAAATTATGTATTCAGTGGATGTGTTTAATGTATTCAGGGTCATATTTGCTCACCATATGCTTTGGGACTTTTACTGGTGCAGAGTTGTCTCCCATATCACTTTTTTTGTTTCAAAAACCGGTTCATTTTGTGTCACTGCATCCGAGGAAACATTGGCTGGCTAGCTAGCTAACAGCCCTCTGTGTTATCTGCACCTCCATCCTCCTGAACATTTCCCTGCCCCCTAAGAGGGGTGTGTTGTCAGCCTGTGGAAGAAGTCGTAGCTGCAGATGCCCCCTGACCGGTTGTTACTGATTGCCATGCTGATAAACTTTGCAAATGAAGGTCCTTCCTTGTCATAATCCCCGTACTACACAAAAGCACAAAACTAAGAAACTAATTACACAGTCTCCCTGCTGATATTAGGCTTGAAGGGGAAAATATCTGAATTTTACAAGAGTTATTATTGATTAACAGCAAAGTGGTAGATGGGACAAAAACACTTTTTAAGAACTCTTAAATGATGAAATATATGACTGGAAAAATAGTCTTTTATTTGACTGAAAGTCACAAAATGCAAAACAATGCAGGTGCATCTTGACATGTTTTACATAATCATATTATAATGAATGTCACTTCAGTTCTACTTTCTGAGTATGAATTATCATATGCAGAAAAAGACAACAATGTACAAGCACTGTAAAAGGTTTTGCCACCAGCTCAACTGACCGGCTTGTCTCCTGTATGATTTTGCACAAGTCTCTTTGGAACTCATAGCATGAGTGCTATGTGCATGAACTTCTGGCTTCTAACTGAAGCTATGTGTGACCATTTATGCTATTTTCACTCTCACCACAAGGCACTGGGTGGTGACATCATCCGACTGCATTGACCAGTCACATATGGGGGATGATCAGGATGTTGACCCCCAGTGTGGATCCGTACTGCTATTCACTGTCAAATTTCGGCCACAGTTAATTCACCATAATGTCACACAATGCATTTTCATTAGTAATGGATGTTAAACTGTTTATTTTTATAGACACACTGGTGGTAGAACTGGTGCTAAGGTAGAGAGTAGGCTATGTTAGCAGCATGGCTAACCAAAACAGCAGAAACTCATAGGCACAATGATCCCGGACATCCTCCATTCTACTCTGACCCAGCTCACTGTGCCTGCCCCCACCTGTCAGTGGATGACCAGCATTCTAACAGACAGGAAGCAGCAGATGAGGCTGGAGGAAACCACATACAGCACCTAGACCATCAGCAGATGCGCCACTCAGGGATGTGTGCTCTCTCCGCTGCTGTTTTCCCTCTACACCAGTGACAGCACCTCAGAGGACTACTCTATTAAACTACTAAAGTTTCGGATGACAAGGGTCATAAGTCTCATCTGAAACAGTGACAAGTTGGCCTACAGATCGGAGGTTGAACAGCTGACCCTGTGGTGCAGTTGCAACAACCTGGAGCTGAACACACTCAAAACAGTAGAGATGATAGTGGATTGTTCCTGTCCTGTTTGGCTCAGAAACCAAAAAGGATAGGA